AAAGGCATACAAAAACGTCAGAGCCTTTGTACTAGGAATGAAATGAGAATCGATATTATGATTATTTAACACAATCATTCTCAGAAAACAACAGTGGATTTATTAAACTTTGAAAAATAAATAAAAGCATTAATATATTATTATTAGACTTCCATGAGCTTTAATTGTAATTCAACTAAATAAACTCAACACTACATGAATGCAGTAAATCTGCTGCAGGCTAGTGGGAATGTGGCAGGGAGTGAATCTGGAATTTTGTGATCAGGGGAAAAGTAAAGGAAACGGATGTGCTAAAAGCTAAAGCAAGAAAATGATTGGAAAACTGAATGTAGCACAATAATGTTTTGATCTATATTACCTTCTTTCAGTAAAAGGTGGAGGGTAAAAATATAGCTGAAATTAAAATTCAATTAACTGCACAGGTAAAACAGACCTTCCAAAAAATCCCTGAATTCAGATCCAGATTGACTCCAAAAGCCCCACTTCTGGTCGAAATTTTAAGCAAATTTCTTCATAAATGTTTAAGTAATCTTGCTACCAAACAAATCAATCAATCAAACAAATATTAGAGCTCTCTCACTTAATGACATTTACCACTAAAAGAGATCCTCAAATATGCAGAACATGCTCCCCTTAAATTGTTAGACATGTTGTCTAACAATTTAAGGGTTGTGTGTTTGTCATTCACAGAGGTTTTGTTTCAGCAATTAGTTGCATTAATTATACTATTTTGATCACCATCTGACAGACTGTTGCATCACAAGTATTTGTAAAATGCCTGCAGGTTTTATTGTACATCATCTAATCCTGTTTAAAGATTCTCAATCAAACATTTCAGAACAAAAGATTGAGGTTCGAGTTTCTCAGATGTGACGTTTTTATTAGTTTCATTTATTCTATGTCACCATTTCTTTTGTATCTTTTGGTTTTGGACTATTTTACTTATTTATGTACCTTGAAGCCAACACGGATCAAAATCTCTTTTCTTTCTCTTTAAGAAAAAGTACAATAAATCGTACAAAATAAGTCATTCAAAAGAGATACGTTAAGATTTTCTGACATTACTAGAACCAAAAAGGATGAACATAAAAAATAATAAGGCAATTAATCAAAGCTTGAACTGTTTCTGTTTAAACTCGGCTGTTTGAACCTTACTGGAAACAAATATATTCTTTTGCATGTTTTTATTTTAAGTTTATTTATTAATGAGTGAAATTTTTATCAACCTAAATGTAGAAAATGTTCACTAGTCTTGCAGTGTTTCGGTTCGTCTTTCTCGCCTTGATAAAATCTTTAGTGTTTCTGGAGCGCCTGTAGAAGCTAAATGAAGATTTTCCATCACACGTTAACAATTTCACAGCTCACCGACTCGCATTAGCACTGACAAGAAACCAGCAGGAGGCCAGAGACAATTTCTGTCTTCAAACAGGTCGGCCAAGCTCCTCGATATTTTCCTGTAATTGTCCGTTTACACATCTGAGGACACAACCACAAGGACAAAGGGCAAAAGATGCCCGAACATCTTACAGCTGTAAGGAAATCTGGATGGAAAAAAAGAGTTTAATGGCTTTATTACTTGTCTCTCTCTTCCAGTATTTAATAAATTTTTTGTTTGATTTTTGTTAATCCCCCAAAATGGACCAATATACTACTCAATAAAAAAAATACACTTGTGCATTAAAACTAAAACACATTACTTAATGCATTGCATTGTCTTTGCACCCCCCCAGATACAGTAAGAGGAGTGATAGTAATGGCATTAATCAAAATAGTGAAGACAACTTAACTAACTGACAATCTAACAGTATCTAACAGTAATCCTAAAGAGGTTTTCAGAGTCTTGATACATGTCAGTGTTATCAAGATGGCTACAAAACAGTACATTTATTTTCAAATCCTTAATTTAATCAGTCTGTCTTACTGAGAAAGAGAACTCTTTATCAATAGAGACCTGTGTATAAAAAAGGTAAACAACAACACAGAGAACACACACATGCTGTGTTTTCATATCTTTGTGGGGACATCTAATTGACATAATGCTTTCCCTAGCCACTTACCCTAACCATCAAAAAATGAATGCCTAATCCTAACACTTAGCCTACACCTAACCGTAACCTAATTCTAACCCTGACACTAAAACCACATTTTGAGTCTCAAAAATGCCTTCAAACTTATGGGGACTTATGGGGATTTTGTCCCCATAAGGGCTGTTGGTCCCCACAAGCATAGTAGACTTCCAATTATTGGTCACCACTAAGATATGTAAACATGGTCTCTCTGACACACACAACCACTCTCACACTCTATACACGGTCACAAATAAAGTGAAAGAGTTGCAGATACAGCAGCTAGTTGCATCTATAGTCCCATCACACATACATGCCATATTAATATATAAAAAACTGAAGGGGATTTTCAGCTAAAGGGAATGTCATCTGAAGGCTAAGGCGGACACCTAGTGGTTGCATCAAGCTAAAGCTTTAAATCAGGGTGTTTGTATACAAAGGTGTTGTGTTTTTTTTGTAACCACAGTGGAATATGACTGATACTCCTCTCTATCTTTACTTGTATAAGCGTCTTAATCACTTCCTGGCCAAACTTGCGTGTGACATTAATCTCCAGTAAAGCAGTAAAGAGTAATATGGTGTGACTATTAGGGAAAAGTGCAATGTTACTATTTCTGTGGTCTTAGTTTTGAACTGCCAGCTATGGGAATGGATCCACGTTACTTCAGAATTCATAAGTTTGCTGTTTGAATCAAGCTTCAAATTGGATTCCTCCATCAGCAGATGGAGGAGTCAAATACCACCCTCTACCACCATCTGCACCACTTATTGGACAAGCTTACTACAATACAATACCTTAAGTTCTTTATTGTATTATATTTTGATTTTTATTCATTAAATACATCTTTCTTTTTTCTATTTAATTGTAATAATAATAAGGTGCAATAATAACAATGTGCAATAAGCATACACTTATTCTTCTATTTGTGTTGTGTTGTGTTGTGTTGTGTTGTGCCAACGTGGGACAGTTTTTCAATTTCATTGTACTATTGTATTATGTATGACTGTGAAATGACAATAAAGAGTTATCCTATCTTATCTTATCTTATTTAGACCCATTTTATTCTGTTATTTTTTTATTTTATTAAGCTTCTTTACTTAACAGTTTTAATTTGTCTTGGTATATAAATCTATGTTGCTGTTTTTTTTCTTTCATCAATCTTTCTTTTTCATTGTATTTTTATTTGCATTTTTTGTGGCTTTTTTTTTTATTACTTTAATAGCTGGTGTGTGCTCTGCCTTGCCTGTATGTACTAGCACTTTGTTTTTAAAGGTTGTATATAAGTAATGTTTATTTCTCTTCTTAAGTTGTGTGGACGAGTTACTGACCTTATTGTGAACGAGCATGAGTCTCAGCTCCGGTTTGATAATGGCGTAGGCCATCAGCAGATCCTGCACCTTCTTCAGCTCCTCTTTGCACTTCTTGGTAGAAGAGAAACACTGACGTCTCACTGGAAGGTTCTTAAAAAGTTTCATTACACTCACTGTCGTCCCTGCAAAAGAAACAGAACATAGTAGGTGATCTAAAATTATATTTTCATGCAACAATTAGAGTTGATAATATGGCAGACAAAAAAATTGCAAAAATTAAAAGTATGTACATAAATAAAATACTAAATGTATTAACACACCAAAAATAGCCTAAAAATTATATCTAAAGTAAGCTTAAAAACTGATGTAAACTGACATTTGTTTTCACTTGTTCTTGTATTTTTTTACCTTTATTAAACTCGTCCATTGATTTATATTCCTGTTTTATTATTCCATCATTAAAGGGACACTTTATACAATTAAACAATAAATAGAGTAACTAAACAGAGTATTTGTGTAATTGTAAATCTACTATGTTTTGCACAGTTATGGATGCAGACTTGCATTTTCCAATTTAACACACAATAAACAAGTGTACTTGTGTGATAGCATCACTGATTTATTATTTCCTATTTTTATAGATTTCCCTATTTATTTTTCTTTTTGTTACACATAACGAAGAAGAAATCCTTAAAAGAAGATTAAAAAGAAAATAGAGAAATAAATACACTTGAATTACTTCTATTTTATTTTTCTAAAGCAAATATAATCAAGTTAATCAATAAATGCACTAATCAATTAATTTCAAAATAAACTGGAAGTTAAACAGAGAGGAGAATAAGGAGAAAGGTTTTTTTTTATTTTTTTTATTTTGGTCCTCCATACAATCAATGTATTATTATTATTTATTTTTATCTTTCTTTATTATACTCCAATTTTTCCTGACCTTTGCCCTTCTCTATAGTGTTTACCTTACTGAACTATTTTTGGTTTGTCATATTTCATTTTAATTTTTCTTATTGAGCTAACCTATTTAAGAACTTTTGTGATGGGTGGTGTTTGATGTTTTTAAATTTTTATATTCATATTTCCATAAAAGTAAAACACTTCTATTTTTCCAATAATAATTAATGAACAGCACTGTTTATAATGTGTCTGCTGGCTGATTTTGTAAACATCAATATTAAGTTTCCTGTTCACCGGGATTAAAATAAATTCTGCCCTCATATCTGAAGCAACTTAATTTTCTTTTTTTAGATATTTTTTAAAAAGGAAGTTTTCCTTGTTGCTCTGCTGTCTGTGCCGTACCTTGACCTAAATGAGACGGCTTCTGGGAAACAATTTTCCCTGTCAAGTCCATTGTGTACTGGGTGCTGATTTCATCCTCCTCTGTCTTTGTGGTAACAGCCACCTGAAGGGAAATGACACAAAACTTCAGTTTAGCCACATTGAGGTGTCAGCGGCTGTAATTTACACAGCACGAGTGTTTGAGTTTTAATAGAACACCTCAGCCACAGCGCAAATGGAACCCAGCGCCTCCCCTCTGAAGCCGTACGTTTCCAGATGCTCCAGGTCTTCATGTCTGCAGATCTTTGAGGTGAAATGTCTCACAGCCATCACAGGAGTATCTACAGCTTTGATTCCTTGCCCATTATCACGAACCTCTACGCGGTCCAGTCCAAAATTTTCCTAAAATGTCAATAAAAGTAGTGCAACATGAAGGGAAATCAAACTCAAAGCTGTTACGATCTGAAGAGTGACTGCAGCAGCAGTCAAAATGCTCTAATATTAATGATTTATTTTCACTCACATCATTATTCATAATCATTGCATCATTAATGTTAAATAAATATGATTATAAATTCAAGTAAAATACACTAACAGGGGTAATTAACTGGAGGAAATCAGACTGGTTACTGCATTTGCTTCTGCATGAATCAAGGTTTTTAAATAAATTATTTTTTTTCCCCTGTAACATTAGCTGTAATTAAGTACTTTACCAGTTTAACATCAATGCTTGAAGCTCCAGCATCCAGGGAATTCTCGATCAGCTCTTTGACAACATTCACCACAGACGTAATGACCTGGGAGCTGGACAGCAGACGCACAGTGTCCGGGGGCAGCTGCTTCATGACTACAGTTATCTGCTAAGGTGAAACATCTGGATTTAGTGGCACATCTAGTCACAAGAATAATAGGAGAATAGCTGGCCAAGGGATAGCCCTTATAAACATGCTCCTGATCTTTCTTTTGATCCCTTGCAATAGTGGGTAACACCACATATTTGATTCGGCAGAGTATTATCCTGGATGTCCCCAAAAAGAGGATTTGTGTCCTCTGACCAATTTTATTGAATGTAATATTTATATGATCTTGGTTATCCACATTTTCAGTGGTGTCAGACTGCTTTAAGCTCATCAGATACATGCAATCTGCGCTGAAGTGGGGTGGACAAGTTCATAAAATTGTACACAAACATATAAAGAAAAACGTGTCCAAGTATTTCCCTTTCTTTCAGTGTACAGTACAAGAATATTCTTCTGTTTGTCGACACTCACTGTGTATTAGGGGCATGCATGATTCAAACTTTTTTAGTTTATTGAAGTCACTAATTAGATTTATTGTATTTATGTGATTTTTAAAAATCAGGAATCCTGTACAAAAATCTCAACCCAGAAACCTGCAGGTTACTCCCTAACTTTTTACACCTCCAGTCTTTATTTTAGCTGCCTGCTCAAACACAGCGGGCCATCCCAAGTAAGTGTTTATGAGTTCAGTCTCTTAACTTCTCTACATGAAACCCAAAGAAACGCTGAACCAGCTTCAGTGGACCCTCCTGCAGTTAAAATCTATACATTATCTACATTAATTAACAACTCTGCCTTGATGACTGTAGACGGAATCCTTAACTTTTCAGGCGCTTCTGCCAGAAATACTCGTTTACTGCTGCTGATTAAAGAAATAGTATTTACGGTTTGTAAAATTGGCTGCTCCTTGATACATGAAAACGTCCTTTTATATCGATGAATTAGTGATCACAGCTAACAGTAATTTACCAGTAAAGGCAGTCAAAAAAGCAACGGCACTAAGATATATTCACTTCATTTAAGGCACAATTTATCCACATTTCTTTAAACACAAAATGAAACTGTACTTTAAGACTAGCTAACTGCTCTCCAGACCTCCTTTAAGCTGCTCAGACTTGCTAGCTCAGATTTAAATTTAAATTTTAGTTCAAACTTACGTACAGATGTTACAAAGCCATAATTAGCTCAATAAAGCGGCTAAATAATACTAACATAAAACTGCTTCTCTGCTTCAATCGTTCATAACAACAGACACGGAGAACCACAGGCGGAAGTTACTGTTTTCCCGCCCCCCCTTCGCTGCATATTGATTGGCTATAAGTCAGGCGTAGGCGGAGTCTAAAGAGCAGTCTGCCCGGAGTTTGAGCTGGCAGTTTTGGGCATTGTTTTTCTTATTTCTCATTTTATTTACAAGAAATCTAAAAATCAGTCAATTTGTCTGTCGCACCATCTGCAAAACACAATTCATAGCAGGTCTCACTACCATCTTCTAAACGTTCCCTTTCACTCTTGATGTTATTCTCTGCACCTCTGCACCTGTGGCAGCTAACACAGAGAGACAGACAACCATTTGCACTCATACTTATGGGCAACTTATAATCACTTGTTAACCTTACCCCACTAAGTGGTTGTCTTTGGACTGTGTGAGGAAGTTGAGGTACCTATTTAGACATGGGGTTAACATACAAACTCCACAGAAAGACCTTCTTGGTGTTAGGCAACAGTGTTAACCATCATGCCACCCCATATTAAATTAAATTAAATTAAATTAAATTAAATTACATTAAATTAAATTAAATTAAATTAAATTAAATTAAATTAAATTAAATTAAATTAATGTTACCTGCTTGATGTGATGTGACATCCTGTGTGCAGGGATAAGAACAGGCATGCCATTTGGACATTTCTTTATTTTTCATTTTTTATGTATTTTTGATTGATTGATTGATTGATTGAATCTTTATTTTGAACATGTTGAAAAAGTACAACAAAATAGAATTAAAAGAGACAAATGAACAAAGCAAAACAAAAGGAAAACGAGCAACCACAACTCCAAATAACGTTCATGTTCAAAAAGGAGCAGGAAGAAGCATAAGCTTATTTAACCCCACCCCTTTTCCACTATCTAGTATCAACAGACTACAGAAATACCTCCTTGCAATTACATTATATGTTATGTGTAATTTTTTTAAATATATATATATATATATACACATATATGTTTCTATCTATCCATACATACGTATATACACATACGCACATATACACATTTTCAATAACCCCATTAACACCTCAAGGATACACAACCTACAAATATATATATTTATATACCCATACCAACATACCCGTGCACCCGCACACACATGAAAATATTAGACAAGAACACCCTATCAAATCTCTACCTTTTCCCTGTACCCTGTAAAAACCATATCCTTAAACCGCTTTTTAAACTTTTCATATTAAATTAACATTTAAATATTAAAAATAATTAAATTTTGTGTAACAGCACGCCACACTAGCCTTAAAATCACCCAGGAAGCACCAAGTTAACTTATGTTCACTGCACTTGTTATGAAAAATAAAATAAAAAATAAAAATTTATATTTAAATATTACATTAATATTTAAATAATTTATGAATTTAAATACATTTAAATAAATGTATTTAAACATTAAATAAATAACATGTATTCCCATAGTATTTGTTCATTGGCGTATTGATTGGTGTGAGCCGTTAGGGGGCGGGGAAACGGCCTTACAAGTCAAACCGTGGAGTTAAAAATACCCTGGGTAAAAACTCCCTAAATCCGCGTCTACTTCCGGTGGTGTCCGTCTACGTCGTGCCGTCTGCACTGTCTGGGAGCTGAGCACAACAGGAGGAAAAAGCGTTTCTCTTGCAGCAGTTTGTTCGTGCAAATACCTTCATTGCTTGCTACTAGCTGTAAGTCTCGCACTCTGGGATTGTCGGAGGTTTCTTTTCCTTTTTGTATTTAATTGAATTCAACTTGGTTTAGGAAGAGTGGTTATTCGGGGGTCCGGCTATATCCTGGGAAAAAACAATCAAGGGAGGCGTTCCGTGTTTATACAACTATTTGTGAGGGTTGGGTTGCTGCTAAATACCAGGTTTACACCAGTTTCATAACAAGTGCAGTGAACATAAGTTAACTTGGTGCCTCCTGGGTGATTTTAAGGCTAGTGTGGTGTGCTGTTACACAAAAGTTAAGCAGATAGTGACTTTTTTTTTTCCTGGGTCTTTCTGTAATATCATTTGCATGTCTGCTGACAAGAGCAGCAGTTAATGACCACAGTGAACACTATTTGAGACTAATATTAAAATTTGAGTCATTAACCGCCGCACTCAGTGCTGTATATATGTCATTTGTCCGTTAAAATAACGATGCACTTACTGGACTATGCTAGCTGTTTTAATAACAACTTGAGCTCTGATCTGTCCTTTATCTATTTAGAAAGTGTGTCAGAGGCCAAAGTTTAACCAGTTACATAAGGCCCTCCACCCCCGTTATTGTTATACCAAGTACTACAGACATACTTTGATAGTGTAATTTGATTTTCAAAATAACAGCTGCACCATATAGAGATAAAATTCATACAGTTACAGTCAGCTTGTTTTTTTCAGAGCTAAACCCGGTACATGCTGTTACTGTGATTATCTAATTATCAGCCACTTTATTAGATACATTCGGTATTACCTTTTTAAAGATTGGACATTTTTTGTAATCAGAGATGCTCTTGTGGATAGCTGTGATAATTATTTGAGTTAGTGTTGTTTTTAAGTTGCTGTTGTCAGCTCGAAGCAGATATTTCAACCATATCAACCAGATATTTTCTCTGGAGTCTTTTTTTTTTTTTCATTTTTGGAACGTCTTCTGTAAACACTAGAAATGGTTTTGTGGACATTTTTTAAATATGTCTAAATGCATTTCTGGCTAATTTACCGATATTCGTCTTAATGAGTGTTTTGACTGGTGTATCTATTAAAGGGGCCGAGTGTTGATCATAGTTGACCATCCTATTGAATTTGATTGTTTTTGTGGAGTTTTTGTTTTTTCTTTTTGTCCATGTTAAAATGCAGTCAGTTTAAAAGTTTCTGCCACTGAACTGCAACAAACCTTCACTGTTGTCTAAGAACTTAAAATTAGTAAATGTAAATGAGACTAAACACAATAGATTACAGTGAGTTTCACGGAGGAGTTAAGTGTGAGGAAACTCTCATTTTAAAAAGTTGGATTTATTCATTTATTTATTTTTTAGCAAAACACATCAGAGGTACCCATTTAGACATGGGGTGAACATACTCAATAAGAGGTGGATTAGTGATGCTGGATTATGGTGGTGTTATCTATAAATACAACTCCACCCCTAAATCCCTGCAATCAGTTTCTCTCCACCTCGATGCTCAGCTCTTTGAATTCAGTTTAAACATTCAACCTCCAGGTTTTTTAACACAAAACAGGTGGAATAGCTTTTTTTTAATAATGTGTATAACAGAAGTGATTTTGTGAATGTCTTTCTGTCCACAGACCAGGATGAATGTGGGTGTGGCTCACAGCGAGGTGAACCCAAACACCCGAGTGATGAATAGTCGAGGGATTTGGCTGACCTACGCACTTGGTGTTGGTGTGCTTCACATCGTGCTCCTGAGCATACCCTTCTTCAGCGTGCCCGTGGTGTGGACTCTAACAAATGTCATTCACAACTTAGTAAGTTCAGTTTTCTCTCATGCTGTGTCAGTGCTGCTATCTGAGCTTCAGAAACAAACCAGGCTGTTCAGGGGTTTTTCTACATAGAGAAAGGCTGTTTAGATGGTGCCAAAAGGAGCAACAAAAAATATGATTGAGGGGGGGGGGAAAGAATGCAATTCAATGCTTTGAATTGCATTGCATAAACTGAAATATGACATCTCTGACTTCCAGCTGCTGTATTTCACACAGGCGCTGGACAAGCCAGCTAAACTGCAGTGGTTTGGTCATGATTTTCAGTCTGTTCACGCTCCAAATGTCTTGCAGGAAATGCTCTGAGTTACAGCCCAAACTGACCTGGTGGGTTGAGCAGTAGTTTATTTCAGGTTTGCCAACACTCACTCACATGTGACACGCTTTCGTTAACCTGTTTCAGCAGCAGCTCTGATTCCAAATCTTGCACTTGCTGTGTCCAAAGACATGAGGATCTCGTGGATTAACTTTTATTTCCATTAGCAACGTCCCCAAAGCAACAGGAAAATCAGCATGTGCTCAAAGTAGAATTCATCCACTGCTAAAGTTTCTCTTATATCTTATAAATATTAATGAAAACCATCTCTCGCAGTTTCCCTGAAAAGTCCACTTCACTGGATATTAAAGTCTCTAAAATTTATTTGCATTTGTTTATTTTTAACAAGTACTCAGGAAAAATACTGACAGTGATGCGTTTTCTTTGTTTTGTTTTTTTTCTTTTAAGATGGAACAGAGCCCTACATCTTTGATAATATCAGATTTCTATAATCTGGTTAGTAATGGTCACATGTCACAGAAAAATGGTCAAATAATGCAGCTGTGGTCATCTACTGAAGGCCTTCTCTGAGCAGGACGATGTACTGATATTTTACTATACAGTATGTCTATTTATCTTGCTATGTTTTTTAAGATTCTAGTGGTGTCAAAATATATCACGTTGTCTTTTTGATTATTTTTACATAAGTGGGATGGTGAGGTCAGATGCTGATTTTGTTTATTTGTCTCCAAGTTTACTAAGGATCTGTATTGGTCCTGAAAAAGCCACATTGGTCAAAAGACTGAAAAAGTATTCGCCTCCAAGATTTCATTTGAATACATTTTCTTTTATTAGAGGGTTAATAAACAACAAAGTTAACATTTTTAAATTTAACAGATCAAAGTGAGGTCTTCAAAATCCTTGTTTTGTTCTAACCAACAGTCCATAGTTAAAATAAATAAATAATTAAAAAATAATTTTCTGTGTTTGGCAAGAAAAGCATTAAATTCTATGTAAAAGTGTAAAGTGTGCGTGTTAGTCCCATAGGGAAATAGTTCCTCTGCATTTAACCCATTCACCCAGTGAAGCAGTGGGCAGCCACCAGTGCAGCGCCCGGGGAGCAGTGTGTAGGGACGGTACCTTGCTCAGGGGTACCTCAGGGTAGCCGTTCAGTGGAGTCGAACCCCCGACCTTCCGATCATGGGCCACCACTCTACCTACTGAGCTATCCCCTATATTATTTCAAGAAAGTTTTGTGTTGATTCTGATTTCTAACGCTTATCAGTTTGATTCA